AGGCCCAGAGTCCCTGGCCCAGATGCCTCTCACGGCCTTCACCCTGTCCCATCTGACTTCCCCGAGTTCCTGGATTATTTCATAAAGTGGAAGATGGGAGCACCCTTAACCCCATAAATGCTGGCTCTTCCCAGGCTGCCTGAGGGGCCTGTAGTGAAGCTGTCAAGAGCCGCTCAGGTTCAGGCTGGCTCCTGGACCCTGTCCCTGTCTGTCTAGGGCACGGTGCCTCTGGGCAGTTGAGTAAGAGCAGGGCCCTCAGCAGATAGGCTTTCCTCTGTTGGGGGCCAGCCAGCTGCTCAGTGGGAAGGGTGAAGGTCATGGGGCTTGGGGGGAACTGGGTGAGGAGTTCAGCCTTACTCCTTGATAATCTTTCCAGGCAGGACCTTTCTCCTGAAGCAGCCCCCTGATACCAGGGCACTCATTAACCCTCTGGGTGCCAGGGAAGGGCAGGAGGTGAGCCTTGGGGAGGCAGCTGAGGTCAGCCTTCTTTGAACCTCCACGTGGTATTTACTCAGGGCAATTGTTGCCAGAGGCCCAGGCCCCTGGAATATAAAGCCGAATGTCTGCTCTCTGTGCCCAGAACTGAGCAGGTGAGCGGGTGCTGGGTGGAGGGGTGCAGGTCAGATTCCTCAGGGAGGGGATTGCAGGGGTCTCAGCAGAGAGCTCTTGGGCTTCTTGGGGTGGGAACTAAGAACTAAGGACATCCTTTTGGAGCACTTTGGCAGAGTTGCTTCTTCTCCCTTGGGATCCCTCAGCTTTCCCAGTTGCAGAGTGGGAGGCAAGAAGAGAGGTGAGCAGGGGAGTGACAGCAGAAGTGGCTGAAGGAGCTGCTTGTGGGGTCTCGGGAGGGCGGTGGGGGAAACTCCACAAAGCAGTTTGAGCTCCACACTCCATATGTGTGATCCAGGTGAAAAAAAAGCCCCCCTCTCCCCAAAACACCCTTTCCCTCCCAGCCATGCTCACCTAGACCAGTCCTCATCAGCCCCGGCAGCCCTGTGCTCCCCATATCTCAGGGACAGGTTAACAGGTTTTGGGCAGGTTGGCCCTGGAGCAGGGCCCCCTGGGACAAAACTGGGAGATGTCCTTCCTTTGCTTCTTCACCTTAACCGGGCCTCGGTTCACCTTCTTCCTGAGTAGACAACAGCAAGCATGTTTGCAGTTCTGACCTGGGCTCTGGCTCTGCTCTCAGGTGGGTCTCCAACCCTGATTTCAATGCGGAGGCGTGGGTGGAGGCTGGACTGAAGCAGGGGGAAACCTAGCCTCTAACCACCCCATCCCTCTCCACAGCATTTGCAACTGTCCAGACACAGAAAGGCTTCTGGGACTACTTCACCCAGAGCAGCGGGGACAAAGGCAAGGTGGCGCGGGTCCAGCAGCAGAAGCTGACATGGGAACCCACGTAAGTGGCTAGGACAAGGGGTGTGGGTGCAGGGAGGAGACAGCAGAGCAGAACAGTGGGATGGTGTGTGGCCTCTGATTCCTCAACCTCCTTAGTCCTCACTGGGACAGAGGAATAGAGTTGTGCTAGTTTTGCCTCATGCCTGGCCTTCCTGGGCTGTGCAGCCCCCTCTGCCCACAGCAGCACCCCCACCTCTGCCCTGATCTGCTGGCCCCTGGCACTGAGGTGTGGGACCTGGGAGCCAGTGGAGGGGACCCCCACCACGCCCCCAGAATGAAAGGACTGTGTGAGAGTCCAGATGCGTCTGTGTTTCCTTGGGCAGTGTTGGTCTGGATTTGCACATGCCATGTGTTTGTACTTCTGTGTGAGGACTTGTGTGGTTGGCCCGCAGCTACGACTAGAGCCCTGGACTAGAGCCACCGCCCTGCATCCTTGGTTTCCCCCAGATCAGTGAGTGATGTCTCTGGGGCAAAGGCGATGGTGGGGCCAGCAGTACCATGGTCTGGATGTCTGTCCCCTTTCCCAGGAGCCTGAAAGACAGCCTTGAGCAAGACCTCAGCAATATGGACAAGTTCCTGGAAAAGCTGGGCCCTCTCAGTGGGCAGGGGAGGGAGCCTCCCGGGCTCCCACACGACTCCGAGGGCATGCGGCAGCAGCTGCAGGAGGAACTGGCGGAGGTGAGGGCGCGCCTGGAGCCCTACATGGCCGAGGCGCATCAGCAAGTGGGCTGGAATCTGGAGGGCTTGCGGCGGCAGCTGAAGCCCTACACCGTGGAGCTGATGGAGCAGGTGGCGCGGCGCGTTCAGGAGCTGCAGGAGCAGTTGCGCGTGGTCGGAGAGGGCACCAAGGCCCAGCTGCTGGGCGGCGTGGACGAGGCGCGGGGCCTGCTGCAGGAGCTGCAGACCCGCGTGGTGCAGCACACCGGCCGCGTCAGGGAGCTCTTCCACCCCTACGCCCAGCGCCTGGTGACCGGCATCGGGCACCACGTGCAGGAGCTTCACCGCAGCGTGGCCCCGCACGCCGCCGCTAGCCCCGCGCGCCTCAGCCGCTACGTGCAGACGCTCTCGCGCAAGCTCACGCTCAAGGCCGAGGCTCTGCACGCGCGCATCCAGCAGAACCTGGACCAGCTGCGGGAAGAGCTCAGCGCTTTTGCAGGCGCCGGCGCTGGCAGCGCGGAGGAAGGGGCCAACCCGGACCCCCAGATGCTGTCCCAGGAGGTGCGCCAGCGACTCCAGGCTTTCCGCCACGACACCTTCCTGCAGATCGCCGACTTCACCCGTGCCATTGACCAGGAGACCGAGGAGGTCCAGCTGCAGCTGGCGCCGCCCCCGCCAGGTCACAGCGCCTTCGCCCCAGAGTTTCTCCAAGCTGACAGCAGCGAGGCCCGGAGCAAGCTGCAGGCCCGTCTGGAAGACCTGTGGGAAGACATCAACGACAGCCTCCATGACCGTGGTCTCAGCCATCTAGAAGAGCCCTGAGGGTCTACTGATCCGGGCTCACTTCCCGGCTCCTTGTCTGAGCCCAGGATATGAGCCCCTGGCGTGGCTCAGTCCTTGACAGTGGCCTATTGGGCAGAGGGTGGAGGGCCCTGCACAGGATAGGCGAGGCCACCAAAGGGACTCTTGTCCCTGGCGTATCCAGCCTCCTGCGATTCCCCCATCCGGATGCATTACACTCACCAGGCTTTGCAAACCCAGCTTCCCGTGTTCATTTGGGAATCCTCATGAGTTGCTCCATTCTGCGATGGTGGGAGTGGGGAGGGAGAGAGGCACTTTATGTGCAGGTAATCATGTGCAGTGCAAGCCTGTTGCCATGGTGCTGGAAGCCTGTGCCTCTTTTTCCCAGGGCTTGACTCTGATCACTTCTGGCCGCCTGGTGGCCACTGCTGCAGCTGGTCTACGGGAGAGGAGCTCTTTTCTCCCCAGGGCTGCCCTGACAGCTTCTGTTGGGGGAAGAGAAGGGAGAAGGGAGGAAAATATAAAAGCATGTGAAGGTGTGTGCATATATCTCTGCTGGCTCTGATGCTGGTGGGTACAAATGGTGGGGGTTGGGATGGGAAGGAGCAGAGCCTGCATTTCCTTACATTGCTCTACATCTAAACAGCTGACCAAGCCCTCCAAACTGTGGGGGCTTCTTAAAGCTTCGGGGGAAGCATACTGTGTGTCCTCTCCATCTGGGACCCCTCACTTCTGACTCTCTAGGCTGAAGCCTAGACTTATGACTCATAAAATAGAGGCATATGGTGGAAGATTATTTGCCTGGTGTGACTCTTATTTGAGCCATGTCTGAAAGCAGTGGCCTTACCACTATCCCCAAAGCACACCCATCACTCATTCCAATCTCTCAACACTCTGTCTCAGGGACCCTCTCCCAATCCAGGTCTGCCAGAGGGTCCTGGCTCTGGCTAGACTCTGCCTTACATGACAGCTGTCTGTTATGCCTGGGTGTAGGCCTGGCTTAGAGACCCTTTCTCTGCACCTGCATTGCTCATCAACCTTATCACAGGGCAGTGTGCATGAAGTGCAGGCTCCTGAGGTGGCCTGTCTCCTTTGTTCCTGCGGTTCCAGATTTTGAATGACCTCCTTATGACTGACCCTCTTTTTTTTTTTTTTTGAGAACTCCAAATCTTAAACTCCCCAATTCCCCATATACAGACTCACTTGGGGGCGACAGAGGTCCTCACAGATCCCCCTGGGAACTGTGAAATTGGGGATGGGTGAAGTGGGGGGGAGGGAGAGGAAAGGGTAAATACACCCTGTCCAGCATCTTTGGAAGGTCCTGTCCAGCACCCTTTCCTCGGCTCGCAGCGTGCCCCGCACAGGGTTCTCAGCACCCCATATGAATCTGGCCTAATCATGCCTGCAGGCTGGACCTCTTCCCTGACACCCTAGATTTAGCAACTGAACTGGGTGAGAGGTGCCCAGGGAGAGGAGATACTGGAAAGGAAAGTTTACTACAAAAAGAGGTGTTTTTGTTATTGTTAGGAAACTGTGAGGGGTGAGTCAGCTGGAGTTTGATGAGCTGGGGATGTGCGGGTGGGAGTAAAAATGAGGGCTGTGTATTTGAGGCAGGAATTTGGGCACTTGTTTATGAGGGCAGACATAAGGAGTGAGAACAGAAAGGGAGAGAATCCTTGAGGGACTGAGGGAGGGGGATCAAGAGCCGAAGCAATGTCTGGCCCAACAGTGGATGGGAGCCTGAGCCGGGGTCGGAGCGCACCTCCTCAGGGGTAAGAGGGACAAGCCAAGCCCCTTGCCATCAAGTGTCTTGTAGTCAGATTTCTGTACCAATGGTTAGAACCCTGTAGAATGGAGCTATTGTGAAGAAGCAAAACAGTGCCCTGGGTCTGAGAGGACGTTCTGGGGGAAGTAACGCCTGAACTGAGGTGCAGACAAAGCTTGAATCAGGCTGGCTTTCAAAGTCTGGACCATAGAATCCCAGCAATGCGGAAACCTTGTCAGACAACAGTTCCCGAGGGCCCAGAGTCTGCGGCCTCTTTAAGAAAGGGCGGGGCGGCAGCTGGTGGAAGTGCCGGAGGAAGGGGTGGGGCCACGAGAGGAGCGGAAGCCGGAAGTGGAGGCCCGCTCTGCGCGTGTTGACCATGGCGGTCAGCGGCCCTGTGGAGCCGGGGCCCCCGGCGGCTGCTGCCGCTCCCTCGCCCGCTCCGGCCCGGGCTCCAGCCTCCGAGCACTTGTTCCGGCCTATCAGTGCCGAGGACGAGGAGCAGCAGCCCACCGAGATCGAGTCGCTGTGTATGAACTGTTACCGCAATGTAAGGCGGGGGCCCGGCCCGGGGCGGCGGGAGGTTGGGCCGAAGTGGAGTGGGAGACCCGGCCAGGTGGGCCCAGTTGGGGACCCGGAGGCGAGCACGCCCCGGGGTCAGTAGACGGGGAACAGGGGCTTCCTAGCTGCTTTCTGCTTCCACAGGGCACGACGCGCCTCCTGCTCACCAAGATCCCTTTCTTCAGAGAAATAATCGTGAGCTCCTTTTCCTGTGAGCATTGTGGCTGGAACGACACGGAGATCCAGTCGGCCGGCAGGATCCAGGATCAGGGAGTGCGCTACATTTTGACCGTCAGGGCCCAGGAGGTGAGAGGACCCCATAGCAGTCTAGTGTCCTCTAGAAGGCTTGGGGACCGGAGTCAGAGCTCTCGTGCGACCTCGAATAAATACTCCTATGTGCCCAAGCCTCAGTTTCCTCCTTCCTAAAGTGGGGTTGGTGCTGTCAGATGCTCAGGTGAGATAAGGCTTGTGAAAGTGCTTTGTAATTACTTCTGTCAGAGGGAATCAGATGAGCAGTACTTGTTTTTAGTAGTCCTCTCACTATTTGGGCAGCTGGCTTCACAGGTGTACTGTTCGGCAGGAGTAGTCTGTACCCCCTGGAATGGAGAGAGGAAGAAACTGCTAGGCTGGGGTCTGGTATTTCCTGAGAAGCTGTACTGCTGACCTCTCTGGAATGAAAGTTTTTCTTTCTGCCCAGGACATGAACAGAGAAGTGGTGAAAACGGACTCTGCCACCACAAGGATCCCGGAGTTGGATTTTGAAATTCCTGCCTTCAGTCAGAAGGGAGGTAGGTATAAGGTCAGGGTATTTGGGCTGTTCATGCCTGGCTGCAATCTTACTTTCTTGCAAAAACCTGGGTGCCAGGTCTGGTGGCTAGTGCATGGGTTTGACCATGTTATCACTGTGACCTTCCTTAGTTCAACATAAACAGAAAGCTTAGATTAAACAGCTTGAGACAGTAGATTGTGTTAGTAAGGCTGTAATGTGTTTATTAGAGAGTCTTAGCATCACTGTTATTAGAGATGAATGGAGCTTTGTTCCAGGCCTCCTCATTTTATAGTTGAAATCAAAGCCCAGGGAGCTCCAAGTGAATTGCTCAGAGTCATACAGGCACTCGATGACTGTATGTCAAGACTCACGTGTCTTTTGTTCTTATTCACTAGTTCTGACCACTGTTGAAGGACTGATCAGCCGTGCTGTCTCTGGCCTGGAGCAGGATCAGCCTGCACGAAGGGTGAGTTGGGATTTTCCGATTGCAGCAGCTCAAGGCATAACGACCAATCTATGTCTGAAGAGAGGGTTCAGCCTCTTGTGTAGCTGAACCGTCTCTGAATGTTGGAGAACTTTTGAGGGACACACGGTGATGCTGTTGCTGCCAGGATGTTGCCCATGTTCTGTCTCCCATCCTTTCCACTTCCCTTTCCCCAGTGTATGTTCACACCTTCTCTCAGACAGGCAGTATAACATTACCTCTGAAGAGCCTTTCCTAATCCCCTTGGATTTATCTATACTTCCTGAGTGTTCCATTGTACCATATATTTATTATGGGAGAAGAAATATAATTACATATTTAGTCATTTGTCTTCCTAAATGGCTGGGGAGCCCCATGAGAGGACTCTGGTTTATTTACTGTTGTGTCTCTAACCTGGCATGAGAGCCTGGCTGAAATGGTTGAATGGTGAGAAAATGAAGCTCATTTGGCACAACTCATAAACTTCAAACTTATTTACTATATCTTATTGTGAAGTCTGAGTCTCTCTGTTCCTACTTAGACTGAGACAGGTGGTGACTTCCTGATGGAAGTGACGTGGACATGACAGGGAGTAGGGGCATAAAGTCGATCACCAGGGCTGGGGAGCCCCATGACTATCTGTTTACTATCTTTACTATCTTTACTACTATCAGGCAAATGAAAAAGCTGTAGCTGAAAGAATTGATGAGTTTATTGTCAAACTGAAAGAGCTAAAGCAAGTGGCCTCTCCTTTCACTCTGGTGAGTATTGAGGAACTCTAGGTGCTAGATTTAGGGGAGGAGAGACCCTTAAGACTGTCTGGGATTTTTCCACTGTGGTGCCCAAGAGGTCTGATGATAGGTGGAGGATTATATGTGATTTCTTGTAATTACTCCCTCTTTGCCCATCTGTCAGATCATTGATGATCCCTCAGGGAACAGCTTTGTGGAAAACCCCCATGCTCCCCAGAAAGATCATGCCCTCGTGATCACACACTATAATCGGACTCTACAGCAGGAAGAGATGCTGGGGCTCCAGGTAAGTAGACTGAAGAAGCCAGAAGACTGCTCTGGCATTATCTTGCTTTCTGGATTGCTTGGAATTAGTGGAATCTTACTTTGTCGTTGCTACCCTGTGTACCCTATCTCTGCATATTTGTGCATCTCATCTAGTTCCTATCAAGACTTAGGATAAACTTTTTTTTTTTTAAGATTTTATTTATTTATTGTACAGAGAGAGACACAGCGAGAGAGGGAACACAAGCAGGGGGAGTGGGAGAGGGAGAAGCAGGCTTTCCGCTGAGCAGGGAGCCCGATGCGGGGCTTGATCCCAGGATCCTGGGATCATGACCTGAGCCGAAGGCAGACGCTTAATGACTGAGCCACCCAGGTGCCCCAAGACTTAGGATAAACTTTACAATAAAAGTTGGCAGTGGCTGTGATCCTGTCTTAAGCTCTGTTCCTCCTTGGATTGGGGCTTTGCTTCCTACTTTCTCTGTTAAACCCATGAGGTGGCACCTGATATAAGCAAACCAGAGTCTTCTCTCTCACTCTAAGGCAGGCTGTTGGGGAGGCTGAGGTATATGTGCCAACGTGTGATTTGTATTTCTGCTATGGTAGGCTGAGGCACCACCAGAAGAGAAGCCAGAAGAGGAGGATCTCAGAAACGAAGTGAGTCTACTGGCTGCTGTGGAGGAAGGAACAGAGCTGTGGGCGGAGACTGACGCTGCTCAGTCTCTCTTCCTCACCATCAACACTGGCAACTACCAGCATACCAACTGAATGTCTGGAGCCTGAGCAGGGCTCACCCTTCGTCCCCATGTTGTGTTCCAGGTGCTGCAGTTCAACACAAACTGTCCAGAATGCAATGCTCCGGCTCAGACCAACATGAAGCTAGTTCGTATCTTTTGTCAGGCAGTTGGGTTGCTCTTCATCTGACTCGGGCATGAAGATTATATGCAGGCGGCGGAGTACTCCCTTCAAGGAAAGTGCAGTGATGAGGAAGGTGTTGCCTTTGATGAGACTGCGTACATTGGCTTTTGGGTTCAAAGAGAGAATTAGGCTCTGGTTTCTAGGGTCCTGTGTTTGGCTTGAGTCATGTCTTCCGATATTTGTGAACAAGGATTGCCATGGGTTGCAACCTTGCCCTCTTCTGGAGGACTATCTGAGTTAGGCTGCTTCTTGTGATTTCTTTCCTATAGTCCTAGGACTAGCAACTATGCTTTTAGGGTTTGGGTTTGTTCTTCCTCAGAAGGTGGTCTTGCTCTCCTGGAAGCAAACTTCCTTACCTCCATCTTCCAGAAATCCCTCACTTTAAGGAGGTTATCATCATGGCTACCAACTGTGAGAACTGCGGCCATCGGACCAATGAGGTGGGTGGGCTCCATTGTTAGGGAATATGACTAAGGTGAGGGTAACCCCTGTTTAACTTTGATCCTTCCTAAATATGCTTTGGGATGAGGTGGGAGGAAGCTGGGTCTTTCTCTTGGATGTAGTGCAGGGTGAGGAGCCCTTGAAGGAACTGGGAATTAGTGAAGTAAAATTAGTGATACCATTACTCATTCAAGACATTGAAGATTGGTTATATGGAAGAGGGAGGTGCC